TGTGCAAAACACTTTACACTACGTGTCCGGTCTATGTGTTCTCTGGTTAGTGGTAGTACGACGAAATGAGTGCTCTGCATAAATGCAAGCAAAATGGTTTTTGTCCCATTTTCTCTCTCACACTCTATCTCTGTCTTGTCTCTTTCTATGGTCACTCAAATCGTCCAACTCAGCAGTACACAAAAATTGAAATTTTTTCGCCACCATCGCGATGCATCGTGGCTCTTTACTTTTGAATGAAGGGTATGCCCAAATCTTAAAATCGTTTGCCAAAATGTAAGCGTTTTCATGAGTATTTCTAGGAAGGGTATGAAAGCATTGATGCGTGTAAGGAATATGATTTCGGAATGGACGTGCACATATACATATGAAGGTGAATGTTACCAACTGCGTTAAAAAAGTTTGTTCAGATCTGCAATCTATGTGTTGTATGGTTAGTGATCTTAATTAACATTATACATATTATACATTCAACAGTTGTGTACCAGTGCTAAGATATCTCTGCAGCAATATCATCAGTCACATTTTCTTTTGATAAACAACCGACAATAAAATGTTTGTATGATAATTTAACTAGCTCTAGCAAACGTATATAAGCGGACTGCATTTAAATATAGTGTCACTATTCACATGCAATAAAAAATGGGTGTTATCACTTGTAAGCATTCTTACCTATCGCACATTCTCTCATTCCATTTTGAAAAGTTGCATAGAGTAATGCTGGCGTGTAAGATATTGTTACAGGATCAATATACTGTATTACGCGGTTAAGTATGTTGTGCAAATCCATTGTTATATTTTCAATCACTTTAGTTAGCATATTAAAGGTTAAGTTAAAACATTGAATGTAAAGCTCCCAAACATTCGTCAGAATTCATTCTCCCAAATATACAGGAATCGATTTATAAAGTTGTACTCACATTTTTTAAGTCGCAGTAAACGCAGATACTTGCGTGTTTGTGGCACCAGCCTTGTTAGTGAAGGTTGCGCTTCGCAAAAATTGATCAGCTTCTCACAATCACTTTCATCCATTTCAGGTAGTAAAGATTCTGTATACAGCCAATGTAAAATCGGGTTCAAAAGAAATGTGGGTAAATTGAAAAGGACTCCAACTGGCGTCAGCGGTGAAGACGGTGGCGTATCTATTAAATTGGCAAACGGTGAAGAGCTGCGTAGTCGAAAAGTAGACAGTGGCGGTCGGCGTGTATTGCTTATATTCTGATTAGTGGTTAAACTGCATTGATGAGCAGACGACGACACAGGTTGCAACGTGTCCTGACAAAAATCGAAAATACTTTTTGATGCTTGAGATATTTCCAGGTGCGATTCTGAATGCGAAGTACACACGCGTAGTAGTCTACTATCAGTATTGTACACTGTGTCAACTGACTCTCTCATATCGCCATTGCTTAGGCAGTTAAAACTGCTACTGAAATAACGAAAACGCTGCATTTCCAATCCTGTGGTTGGTGCCGAAAATTTAAAATCTGGCTGCATGTATACGGAGGATAAATTAATGCCTTGCGAATTTTTTGATTGTTCTTTTTCAGCACCAGCTATACCAATCGATATTGGATTTGGATTTAGATTTGATATACTTGGCGTAAAGTGCAAAGGCTGCAAGCTCTGATATGCTGATAGCAGAGTATTGCTTGTACACATGCTACAATCGAATCCATTTAGACGCAGTATAGAGGAATGAAGGGCATATTCTAGTCCACTACAACTTTTGATTAGTATATCGCTGAAATAGCGCTCCAGCAGTGCTTCACCAAAACTGAATTGCCTTTCCTGACCATTCGGTCGATCGTCCTGAAGCCTTTTGCATTCCACTGAATACCAGTTTTCGCAACTAAGTACTAGTGATTCAGTTGGCATTAATGTACTAGTCTGTAGATATAGTATACGGATAAAAACAAAATATTTTTTATTATCAATTACAATATAAAGCTACTCACACTAAATTCAATACTGTGGCCAGCAAAGGCCCCAAAGATGAGATGAGGATTAGTTTCGTGTACATCAAATGTTTCACAACTAAATAAAATACTTGCTGAATCATTGCAAGTGCTGCAATCAGTTATTTCAGGAAGTGGACTAACCAAATCATTATACCAGGTAATGTCGCTGCTATCGTCTAGGCGAAATTTTATGCTATAAAAGAAAATGGTCATTCACTATATTTGAAAGTGTGTACAAGTATTCACCCTTCTAGTCCAGAAACCTCACGTTTGCCTTCAAAAGTACATGAGATTATCTGTGCAGTGCATTATTTAATGACTGAAAGCATTGCATATAGGTAATTGAAAAAATAAATTACCTCCCAGGTTCCTAGAAAGGTGTGCTCCAACGCCATGTTTATGTTTATTCGTAACCTGGCGGTACACTAACACCACATTCATTGACGTAGTCAAAATTTTTCGTATTATTCATTTCTTAAATTAAGTTAAGTTATAACAAATTTTCTTCTTCTAGCAGTAGCAATTGATGACGCAGCAGTAATATAATTTAATCCCTGTACTTTGCGCATGCTCCATATAAATACATGCGAAAATATGTGTATATATATATATATATATATATATGTATATAACATGCACTAAATATATATTTTCCATGTGGCCTAAGAGCCTTTTTAATGCACATTCATATGAACATACATATGTATGTATGAAGAAGAATGTTCTGATCGGTAGTTCCCGACTAGAATATGACACGACAAAATCAGTGCGCTTCGAGTGCTAATACTAAATGTACACATATTTATATGACGCAGCAATATCTAAATTAAATATGCGAAAGCGGTTTTTAGATTAAAAAAAAACATTTATTCACTTTCGGAGTTGGATTAGAACTAACTTAAGAATAAT